TCTGACACAACTAACAGGAGATAAGCACCTGGACCAGAGTGCTTCCCACAAGAACACAAGAATTTGGCCAAGATGATGGGCAAATACACACACACACATATATATTTACATATGTTTATATATACACACAGACACACGCACACATATATATATATTTAAGAGTCTCTAGAGAAAGACATTACTTTGCCTTAACCCCAGTCACCGTCACTCCCTTGCTTAGGCCCATCCATTCTTTGTTTTTTGGATGCCTGAACCCTGAGGGCATTATGGTTGCAGACCTTGGACCATCAGAGTGTGAAAATAGCATGAAGGACAACGTGGGAATCTTCCATAGGGACTGGATTGTGGAAAGACTTGAATGTTACTCCAACAAGCAGAGACTTAATATGTAGGTAGTGGGGAGCCACTGAAGGTTTTTGAAAGCAGGGCATTGATAATAGGGCTTGTCTGCTGGGATGATCAGCGGTGGACCTGGGGAGATCTATTAGGAGGCGTTGGCAGTAGCCCAGTAAAGAAGAATAAAAGGGACCATGAGCACAGAAGAATGTGTGCTTGACAGCTGCTGTGGAGGCCGACTTCATGTGCCTTGATAGCTGATGAGATGTGAGGCATTGACCTAGAATAATGGTACCAGTAACAGAAGGGGAGGAGGTGGGAACAAGTGTGGGCCTAAGAGGCACTTAGTGGTGAATTACTGAGTTTGAGGTGGGAGTCTGAATTTCTCCTTGGGCTTTTCAGTAAAACATTTGAAAAGTTTGTTCTTGAGATACTGTTGCTGTTTTGAAAGAGATTTTTAAACCTTTTTTAAAGCTAATATTAATGACCTGCTGATTGTTTTTGATAATCTAATGACTTATCTGGTAGCAAAGTCATGGTGGCCTTTGGTTTGGTCCAATGCATGTAGCTCTAGTCCTTGGTAGTTGTCAGTAAACCAAGGATGCCGGTTGCAGGACTGTGAGTAGTACAGGAAGAGAGATACTAGTGTCAACTGGTAACAACCAAGATAGAGCATCTCAGGTTTATTTTCACGTTGCCTTGTGAAAGCTGGGTCCTACAGCTAGAGCCAGAAGGCTTACTTCCATTGGCAAGGGCTGGCTCGACAGTAAGCCCAGCACACTTCGTATGGCCTGGAATTGAGCAGACTCACTGCAGGCTGCAGGGAGAGCTGGCTCGGCTGCCAACTTGCCTGTGCACCTGCACTGGCTGTTGAAGGTGCTTCTCCCAGGTGAGTGATTGTCAATGCCTGTCTCTACCTACTGGAGAGAAGTTTGGTGAGAATAAAGTCATTCGGTACAGAATTCTTGAATCTTTTATATAAGAGGCTTGACTCATTGAAATGGTTCCAGAAAGCCTCCATAAATTACTAGGGTAACAATTAATTGGTAATTGAACGATGCTTTAGGCTAGCCTACTTGAGATCAAATTAGTGCTGCACTTGTGTTTTTTAATGGGCTGGAAGTTTGTTTTGGGACTCAGTATATCATCAGTGAAAGGAAAAAAAATGCTCAAGTTTTAGCACTTAGAATTTTAAAATTGTAGCGGTGTATATTTAAGCATAGAGTTGTATCTTTGCTTATGGCTTTTTTGGTTATATGAATATATTTTTCTTAATCCCAAGGAGCAAACTTTTATTTATATAACTCAATTCCACTGAAAAGGTGACCTTCTAGGACAGTGGTTCTCAACCTGCCTAATGCCGTGACCCTTCAATACAGTTCATGTTGTGGTGACCCCCAACTGTAAAATTACTTTCGTTGCTACTTCATAACTGTAATTTTGCTACTGTTATGAATCGTCATGTAAATATCTGATATGCAGGAGACTCCCAAAGGGGTTGCGGACCCTCAGGTTGAGAACCGCTGTCTAGAGGATCATTGGTTATGCTATAATGTGATTCTGGCTTCACAAGGATTTTTTTTTCTTTGTTAGCATTAACAATGTATTGTATAAATAAAGGCTATAAAACTACTCTAAAACCTTTGAGATTGACTTTATAACAACTTTTTACTCTGCCCGAGCGTTTAGCTTTAGATATATTTAAGGCAAACACATGCGTTTTATTTCAAACATAGTAAATTGATTATTTATGTTTTATTTTTACATCTGTGGTATCATGGGCTACAGCTTTAAACTAAGCAGGTAGATGCAGGGTGTTGCTTCGAGCCATGGTGGGATCAGGTTGCTTGACTTTACATGGTATTTGATTAAAACAGACAATTTCTGGATTTTTCTCAGGCAAACTTAATAGGGTTCCTCAAAGTCCCTGCCCCTGCTTCCTGCCATCTCTCCCGGGTGTATCTTAACTCTCACCTCATGAGGTTTTTTTTTTTTGGGGGGGGCCGGGTTTGAACCCACCACTTTCCGTATATGGGGCTGTGCTCTACTCCTTTGAGCCACAGGTGCCACCCGAATTTCAAGGAGACTATTAATTGAATAAATTCTTAGATGAACAATAAAAGCCCAAGTCTGTATTTCTGGTTTTTTTTTTTGGGGGGGGGGGGACAGGGCTGGGGCACTTTCTGTATTTTGTTTCTCCTTTTATTACTAGGTTTCTTTGTTCCGGGGAAGAACTATATTTTTTGTTTCTAATGCTCCATTCAGGAACGCCATGCCCTGCTTCTGTTGGTATCATCTGAGAGGGGGCAGGACAGAGCCAGCAGCAGAGCTGGTCATTTCTGTTCTCTCTTTTGGGGGATGATGAAAACTGTGAATCTTGAGCAAACAGAGTTAGATCTCAGATCTAACTTGATATTAGAGCTTGATGTTTTCCAAATGGGTTAGTGTAACTCAGGGACCTTACTTGAGTTCTGGTCATGACAGCTTTACCATCAAGTTTTCCTGAGGGTATGGCTCTGGAGAGGAAAAAGCCTCCTAAAATAGAGAGCTTTTATAGCCTTTATTACCAGTTCAATCTGTGGTCTTAAAGGAAGTACCTAGTCAGCTACTGACAGTGTTAGACCATCTGTCTAAATAGGAATATTTTTCCGCAAGCCAGTGAGAGGCTTACCTTTTCTTTAACATTCTGTGACAAATGCTGCTCTCAGTGTTAGATTGCATCCTTTATTGCTTGAATTTACCTGAGGATGCTAAGGATATGCTTAAAAAGGGGGGCATGTGCTTTTTTCAAATAAAAATGGTAGCTATTGAAAACATTGGAGGAAAACACAGCTACTGTATTAAATATCTGTATGCAAATGGTTTTAAGGCCCAATTTTATCATCTCTCTTAAACTAGCAGATAAGCATAGTGTTCATGAACTGTTTTGGGGCTGGGATGATATCTTCATGTAGATTTTGCCTGCAGGTAGTGCCACACCCGCGGATAGAAGGCGCAGCACGTGTTTATCAAATGAAGGCCTGAGATTCAGATGTACATGCTTGGCTGGTTTTCTCCCTCATAAATGATACTAGTTCCATTGGGGTCTTTTTTGTCTGAAGTGCTGGGAACTCTTTTTGTTCTTTGTCGATTCTTCTTAGTTTTTCATTGCTGCTTGGTCTTGCAGAACTTAGGTTTTAAAAAGCTAGCTAAAAATAGACTTACCACTGTAAGCACCTTCTCACTCACACCTGCTTTCCTCCTGGGTCCCTACAAGGTTGACCAGAATTTTTTTTTTTTAAACTTCACATCAAAAACAGTTGGAGGGAAAAACGGCATCTATTTAGTCAACATTTCCAGTGTTGGAAGACTATGTCAGATTTAAAGCTTTTTTTTTTTTAATTGAGTTATGTTTTCAGAGCAGTGGACATTGTCAAGTGTGGTCAGTTGTAGCTGTTTTGAAGTTGATCAGGCCCAGCTGAGCCTTCCCAGTGGTCCATTGCACCCAATGGAGGGTTTACGAAAGTTTACCAAGAGACGTAATATCCCCTGGGCAAGCACTCACAGCTCATTTTTTCCTGTGTTTAATCACTTGACTGTCCAGACATCCAGGGAGTGTGAGGCATAGTGGGTAGAGGAGTCTGAAGGTGACTTCTCTTGGGTTTGCTCAGTGGGAACAGAGTGAGAGAACAGTGGTTTGGTCCCAAACTCTGCTGCTTCCCAGCTGTGCTGCCTTGTTCCTGTCACCTGCTTTGTCCCATTGTAATGTGGATGTGCTCATGCCTACGTTAATGTGCTTGAGGAACTTCAGGTACAGTGACTGCTCAGAGAAAGTTCTGAATGTAAAATCAGGGAGCAGTGGCATCCTAGGGTAAAAATAATAAAACTTTGTATGCTTTTTTCCCCTTTTTCAAATCGCTCTCACTTAGCCTGTCCTGGGTTCTGAAACATGGAGCCAGCCCCAGCCATCAGTCAACAAAAGCTCCCAGTTGAGAATGTTAGAAGTAACGCAGGGTTATTAACGGGAACCCCGGGTTGTCGTGTGTCCAGTGGATTTCTTCTGTCCTTTGTTTTGAAGGTTGAAGTAATCTTCAAAGTTTCTCTTGTAATGATACCATTACCTTGTCTTCTGATTGCGTAACTAAGAGACTTTCTCTTTTGTTTTTAGGGAAGATATAGGAGGTGCGTTATATGATCTTTTCATGAAAACGTAGTCAATTGTACAGATTTTTGCAAAGGCCAACACATGCTTGCTTGTACATTGGAAAATAACATCTTCTGGATAATTTGCTAAGTATATTTTGTGATTGTGACAACTCTGTCTGCTCACACGATGGTAGTCTGAGTAAACTGCAAGTCATTTAATAAAAACCGATGGTGTGAAATTTCTGGGGTTTTCTCAGTTTACAAATTTGCATGCCCATGATATAAGACTTAAAGGTACCAAAGGGTATTTGTTAAAAAGTGAGTTTTCTTTCCATTCTCTGTGTTTTTTGGTTATAAGTTAGAAGAACCAGTTAGGGGCAGGTTACCAGGTATACGCTCAGGGATGTGAACAGAAATGAGTAACCTAACTTTCGTGCCTCTTAGATTATTGTGATCACCTCTAGAGCCAGTGTTTCCGTGGCATTTGAGTTTCTTGATTTCCACATCTGTGGTTTGTTTTTGTTTTTGTCATTTTCCAGTTGCAGCATGAGAAAGCTGAACTAGAACAGCATCTTGAACAGGAGCAGGAATTTCAGGTCAACAAACTGATGAAGAAAATTAAGAAACTGGAGAATGATACCATTTCTAAGCAACTTACATTAGAACAGGTAAGCATCTATACTTCCTGTACATTATTTTTTCTCACTATCAGCTTATTCTTTTAAGCTTTGGGCTACTTTTCAGCCTTTCCTCCCCACCGTGGGGACTTCACTTTTGAGAGGCTTACACGGGTTCTATCATTGTCTCACACACTTTCTCTATTTTTTTAACCACTGTTAATAAATTTTCAGGAGATTCGTTGTGGTATACTGATTTATAGCAGGAAATGTCAGGTTCCTTTCTGCAGACAAAGCAGGGAGAATATTTTTAAACCACAGGATAGTTTCTGTGAAAGTTCCTGAGACGGTGTTGGTGTGGAACTAAAACTTTTCTTTCAGGGGTTCTTTAGAACATTTTTCTTCTTTGACTTATTGACAAGTTTATATGAACTTTATCTTCTCCCCAGCTAAACTTGTCACTGTAGATGTGGAGTCACAGACTTGATAACTCATCATGCATCAGCTCCAATGAGATCATTGTATGACCTTGAGTTAACTTCATTACCTGCTCTGGGCCCAAATTCTCCATGTATAAATAGAGCAGGACAGACTAAAATCAGAAATGGCAAACTTAAAAAGATACAAAAGGTGGGAAGTATTAGTGCACAGTCCCTTTGTTGTTTCCTGGCAGATGTTGGTATGCGATCACAGTACATGCTTTGGGGGTCCAAAGTGGCTGTATACACACTTTATCCCACGTAGAATTGTGGACATGTTAACTACTCATCCAAATTGGTGTGTCAGGCTATGGTACCTGTTACCCCTAGCTTCCCTGTTCATGTTCTCTACTGCTTTATCCCCACTCTAGTGACTACTTTCCCAGTGGTAAGTTAGTTTTAAGAGGCTGACCATACTGCTACCTGGGTTTCCAAGTAAAACTCCACAGTAGGTTAAGATCTTCCCGCTCTTTCTGTCCTGCGTCCTTGTTTGCCTTTGTGACGGTTTGGGTAAACCTTTCACTCAAACCTGTCTGATTCATCTCAAATTTAGTCATCTTAGTCCGTGCTGATTGGTCGATCACTCTTAGAACTGCTCGGGTTTCAACATCTTAACCTGAAAATGAAGCAGTGATGGTACCATATGGTTTGAAGGAAAGTTGGGGTTTGTTTTAAACTAATGCTGACATTAGGTATTTGTCTTATTCATGTATCTTCTATCTAGTTTGCTTTTTGAAGCTGGGCACGGTGGCTCATGCCTGTAATCCTAGAACTCTGGTAGGCTGAGGCACGTGCATCCTTTGAGCAAGAGCAAGACAGCATCTATACAAAAAGTGAAAATTAGCCCAGCTTTGTGGAGGGCACCTGTAGTCCCAGCTACTTGGGAGGCTGAGACAAGAGGAACACTCGAGCCCGAGAGTTTGAGGTTGCTGTGAGCCATGACGCCACAGTACTGTACCCAGGACAACAGAATGAGACTGTCCTTAAAAAAAAAAAAAATTATCCCTTCCATGTAAAGGAATTAAAAAATTCTTTTTTCAAGGGTTGGCTATTTTATATATATCTAGAGTAATCTATTTTACTATTCATGTAAATGCAATGTTTACATTTAAAAGATAACCTCTTCCACCCTAAGCCCTGCCCTACACTACCATTTTAAAAACATTTTATTCCAAAGTTTATCTGTTGAATTCCTAGGATAGGCAGTAACTCCAGATCTGTTTAAATTAAGCTTTGAGAATTCTTATTCAAAACCATGACACTCCAAGTATTTGTTACTGGTACTTGTTAATCAAGAGTTAGCCAAGCAACTGAGGAAAATTCTGACAGTAGTTGGTACTGGGGGAACTTTATCAATGTTTTAAATACCTTTCTCCTGGTTGTTTTGTTCACAGCTTCTTTCTAAAGGAGACTTTGAGACTGGGGCTATGACCCCGAGGGTTCAGCTCTGGCCACAAGGGGGAGGTAGTGGCCTAGCATCTGATGGGCAGCTGATCCTGCATTCAGTTCCCTGAGAGAGAGGGGACCAGCTGCCTCAGCATCTGAAAGACCTTTGCAGACTTCAGTACTGAGCCCCTTTAAAATGAAGTCCAAGGTGGATATCCTCTGTACCAAGTTAATTACTTTGTAAACTATTAGCCTTATTCCAGACCTCAACAGTGAAGAAATGGATTGCCACCATGAAAGATCTGCATTACAAAACCCTTGCTGGAAGTAATCCTCAGATCCAGCATACCAAGCCATGTTTTAGTTCAAATTAAGAAACATAACATTATTATAAAAACTTTCCCCCTTTGTTTTGGGTATATCCAGGATGATTTATATTGAGGATTTTATTCTGTATTTTGTTTTTAAATATAAATAATTTAAGTCAGTATTTAGGAGGAAGGTCTATTTTTTTCCCTCAAGTAGAAATAAATCTCTTCTAAGTTTCATGAATTGATATGATTTGGTAGGTTCTTAGAGTTGTCCTTTGGGATTCTCACCTGTATTATATGACATGCTATGTTGTAGCCTGTATTATAACGCATATCCTTATACTGTATGTTGCCAGAAGAACAGAGACGTGTACTACACTGTGCATTGTAACAGCATGTGTGGTCTGTGCATACACTATGCATTGCCTTTGCATGTAATACATAGCTGACAATCAACATTTTAACTACAGTCCATCTGAGACAGTTATCCTGTGTGCCCCTACATGTGTAGCTCTGCTTTGTTAGGACAGTTTACATGGAGATTGGGGCGTGCAAATAGGAAGTGGTTGTTTGTACTTAGAAGGTAGGACAGTAACATTCAGGGCCTAGAAACTGACCCAAAAAGAACCCAGTATGAACCCATTTCCTCTGCTTAATATTTTAACCAGTTTGCTTTCCTTTCAACAGCTCTAATGAGATAATATACATGTCATACAATTCACCCATTTAAAAGGTACAGTCTAGTAGTTTTTAGTATATTCAGAGTTGTGCTTTGATCACCACAATCAATTTTAGGACATTGCATGACCTCAAAAAGAAACCCCGTGTTCTTCACCTGTCACCCTAATCCCCTGTTCTCCTTGGGCAATCGTTATTCTACCTTGTGTCTATATATTTGCCTGTTCTGGACATTTCATATAAATGGAGTCATATGACATGTGGTCTTTGGTGACAGGCTCCTTTCATTTAGCGAAATGTTTTCATCCCTGTTGTAGTGTATATCTGTACTACTTTCCTTTTTTCTGGCCAATTTTCTATTGTCTGGATATAGCACATATTACATATCCATTTATCATTTGATGGAGACGTGGGTTGTTTCTACGTTTCGGCTATTGTAAATAATGTTGCTTTGAACATTCATGTATAATTTCTTGTGTAGACATGTTATTTTTATTTTTATTTTTATTTATTTTTTATTTTATTTTATTTTTTTTTTTTTGAGACAGAGCCTCAAGCTATGCCCCTGGGTAGAGTGCTATGGCATTACAGCTCACAGCAACCTCCAACTCCTGGGCTAAAGCGAGTCTCTTGCCTC